GTTCGAAACCTGGAAGTTCTTTTGTGCTAATTGAGAAGGAAATGGCCCCATGGAACATTTGCATATCAACAGCTCTTTGTAAGGAATGTAATGTGAAATCATTTTGGGCCATTGTGATCCACACTTTTTGTGTGGACATTTTCTGTGAAGAATCAAAAACTATTGGGAAATAAAAACGGATGCCTTGTAGAGTAGTGGCCAGCCACATAAAGACTGTATTTTCTCCATGTATAATAACTGCATTTGCTGTTTTCTCTGTGAATAAAGTAGTATGCCTCAAACATCGTTCAACCAAGTCTACTATTTCAGAAGATTGTAAATTTCTGTCAATCCTTTCGGTGAATTCGGAGCAGATTTTATTTTGCGAGAGCATGGGTTCCAGAGTTTGTATGAAATGTTCTCCATGTTTATCATCCACAATGACAAGTCCTATCCAGTTCCATCTGAAATACAGAAGAAGTTGGACTAAACCCTTGTACTGGAGAGCTTCATCAGGGGCCATGCGATAAAAAGGAGGGGAACGCGATTCATCAGTTGCTACCAATTGAAATGAGCCATATGAAATCTAAAAGGAAGAAAGAAGGAATAAGAAAAAAGAGAATGATAGAGAAAGAGAAAGTATTGATGTTTATATTCTGTTTTTATTGATTTAAACCACTCTAGTTTTCAAAATATGGTTTTTAAATATATAGATTTGGTTTAGAGATCTCTCTAAAAGGGAGATATCCATTCTGAATAGTATATGCCTGTCTGTCTGTCTGCCTGTCTGTCTGTCTGTCTGTCTGTCTGTCTGTCTGTCTGTCTGTCGGTCTGTCTATCTATCTAAATAAATAAATAAATAAAAAATAAATAAATATGCATACATAAAATTCTGTATGTTTTGATTCATCTTACTGGAAGAGAAACTTGGATTAAGTCCACACTATACCCTAATTTCTTTACTTCTCTTTATCCTAATTTCTTTACATCTCTTTACTGATAAACCATCAAATTGCTTCTTGAAGGGGAAATCCAAAGCAGACCATCTGTGTGATTGTTGTAATTTTGAGATCTTTATTTATGAGTCCAACCTGTGGGATCTTGAAAAGCTGCAAAATTTCTGCCATGCGTATGGATGTTTCAGGACTCATCCCTCCGATGATTCCCATCACTTTCTTTTCAGACCCACAAATATAGTTGGGGATAATTTTATGCAACTTAAAAAGCAGGTCCAGAGTGGTACGATAGGTCATTAGTGCATTGGAGTAGCTGTCATAGATGTGGAATCCAAGAGTGAAGTTGGGCAAGATGTGAGGATCCTTGTTGATCTCTTTCATGGCAAACACCAAAGCCAAGACGTGTTGGTAGAACTTGGTTATCACACTGTAAAAAAGTGACTTGTTTCAAAAGAGAACTGCACCATGCATTATATAGTTAGAAAGAGATAACCAATGTCAAAAATATTACGAGAAATACACATTGACAAGATAAATATTCTGAAATTCACAGTTTTATGATTCAAGGTTCATCTCCTACATTAAGTCTTTTGTTTAATTGTATCCTTTAACAGATATTTAAATTGATATTTTAAAGGACATGCATTCCCTTGGAATAATTGGAGGAACCATGAAAAACTTTAGAGAAGGAAGACAGGATAACATTCCAGAAATATGTGAATAGTTGTCATGTAGAAGAGATCTATGGAAGTAATCCCATTTTTTCTGCCCTTAAAAAGGAGAGACTATATTCATGTTAAATTTTCCATGCAAGTTTTGGTCTTTTATAAACATTAGTTCTATAATGGAAGAAAAAGGACTTTCTGCCGGAGCAGGAAGCTGGATTAGATGATTTTCAATGTCTATATTTAAAATATTATAGTGTCTTTTATGTTATGGTGAATTAGGGCTGGACTAGATGACCTAGTCAATGTGGATATTTAAAATATTATAGTGTTTTTTATATTATGGTGAATTAGGGCTGGTTCCTTTTCGTCCAAGTTGGAAAAGGTTTCAGTTCTCAACAATATATCTGCTTGTCCTGATCTATTGGCTTTTGGTTTAATTAGAAAATTGGATATTGAATTAACAAATAATTTCTAATTACCAAGTTGCTGTTAAGGATATTTCCACCATACATTTCTATTCATTAACAGAGGATGATGGAACCTCTTTGATTTACAAAGATGGAAAGAACAGAGAAGGATTAGATTAAAATAAGCTAAGAGAGTGATTTCTTACAATGGGAAGTCAAGCAGTTCCTCAGAAGGATGTTTATCAAAAATAACTTTGGGGAATATGTAGTGAAGATGAGACATCAATGCACCAATGAGAAGGTCTCCATCCTGGTGCCATTCCTGTGGTATTTCAATAGCTTCATCTCCAGTGCACTTAAGAGGTTGTACCTTCATGGCTAGTTCTGGAAATAGTAATAAGGCAATAATTCCCAACATTCCTGCTCATTTGGCTTCTCCTGTATTGCTGTTGCCAGCAGTCTTGATTTAAACACGATACTATAGATAGTGAAACAACTGCTACCTTTGTTGAGATCTGTCTTAAGAATACCGCATGCCACATTCATTGATCTGATCCATTTTCTTCAGCCTCACTTATGTCTGGATTCTTGAGGTGTAAAGGATAGAGTTGCCCTTTGAGACTACTGCCTAATTATTAGGGCCTTTTTTCATTTGCAATTTAAAAGAGCACCAGCTGTGAAATTCTGTGAAACAGAATGTCAATCGTCTTGTGGAATTACTCCAAGATGGTGATCAGTGTATTTTTCACATGTGTGGAGTAATGTAGCTAGTTTCACATAGAGAAATCTGGGAAAATCTGTCCGCTGTGGAATTGACTAGGCTTTGGTTGATCCAACAGTCTAAAAATATTAGCCCCAAATCCACAAGAACTATATCTTTATGTTATGAATAGCAAACAGGTTCCAAATATATATGTGTTCTGGGATTTGTCCCTGATAGTTCCTTCAGAAGCATCTTGAGAGCCATTGGAGGACTGACCTAGTGACTTAATCATCATGTCTGTGATAACTGGAGAGATGGCAATTTTACTAGTAGAAATGCTGGAGCAAACATGTTTATGAAATGCCATGGACTTATTCTGCTTGCTCTTGGGTATTGAGGACAGAGTTATAATATATATATGAAATCTGTGGTCATATATTTTCTCTAAATCAATCAATCAATCAATCAATCAATCAATCAATCAATCAATCACACACAAAAACACACAGACACACAGAGTCAAATATTAGGCTCCTAAACTTTCACATATTGTGATAGTAAAATGGTTGCATTCATTAAAAAATGTCTGAGATGCCCCCAATATATATGAACAGTGGAAAGTGCCTTGTAAGAAAACATTCACAACAAGCTGGACTGACCCAGGATGGTGACAGGGACGAGGCTCGGTCAG